TCTTGTGAGGGATCCACTGTTTCCACAAGGAAAGCGGAATAATGTGAAGGCTGGGAAGGGGAACGCACATAAGAGCCCTGAGAAGATCATGCCAGAATGTAAATAACAGTAATGTCTTCCTACATTTGTGGGCAGTGCACTATCAAGTCTAAAAAGAGAATAATAATGTGCTCATAAAGAGGGCATATTAACTACACTTCAGATGAAAACAACATGCTGTCCTGACTGAAACATGTAAAGGCAATAAATATCTACAAACTGAATCACACTGGATGCTGTCAACAATAATTCTATAATTTGACATGCTGTGCCATTTTACATGCCCATGGTTTAGACAGAACTGAGAAACCATACCTCCAATTGCTACTTTTCCTTGACCGAGATTTCTAAATATATGTCTAGAAACAAATGCTGTATCAAATACCAAAATATGTCATAATGTTTAAGACTTGAACCTCACAGTGATGAGTTACCTCTATTTGAGGGACAAGAGTCCTGAAACTTTGATGATGTTGCAGAGATGGATTTTGATAATGGAGAAATGTATGTAGACAATATGGATCGTGATAGAGAATATGTATTGCCAAATTCAGAAAACCCCATTTAATAAACCAATTAAATGATCTTGCATAAGACTTTAAAAACTCCCCAAAAATCAAACATATCTTTTTTGTTCCGGATTACAAGGATGGAATCTTGGATCCCTCCTAACCATGCTCCAAAAATGAGTCATATGAAAATTTTAGAGCTCTGCTCTATTGCAGACAATGTAACAAGTACTGCTGTAATATGTGTGGAGATTGGAAAGTCACAGCTCTTCCACTCAGCATGTCTATTACTTACATTAAATTTTGCTGAATCTTATACAGATGGGATAGTCACACAAGAAGTAGTTACTGTGTTGTGAGAGAATAGCCTTGTCATAAGTGGTTTCTTCCTGGGCAAAAGAACATTTCAGTTGACCCACTTTATCCACAGAAAATATTTCTGTCTCCACATCACCTCCATTTTGGACTGATGAGATATTTAATGAAAGCCATGAACCAGAATATAAAGAAGGTTTTTAGTACTTAGTACAGATGTTTCTATGGATCAGCAATGCAAAGTTAAAAGAAGGGATTTTTATCACTTCTCAGAGACAGAGTTATGACTGACAAGAACTGTGATGAAATCTTAGGAGTAACTGAGAAGATAGTGTGGGAAGCCTGGAAGCATTTGGATTAGCTTTTAGCTATTTGGGTAAACACAAAGTAACCCCAGTTGAGGAATAGCTTAAACCATACCGAATATGTCACTGCAAATACAATTCCTTCCATCACACTTGATTTATTTCTAACAAACCTTGGAGACATCAGTGACAACCATTGTGTTAGTATTCATAAGGCCATTTCTGCCATGGAGGAAGTGGAATCTGACTGTGCTGGCTGGCTACAGCTGGCAGCTTAAAAGAGAAGCTTCAGATATGTACATAAGTAAATTAAGCTGGAAGATATTTTTGAACACATTAAATGTACACTTTCCACTTGTTTCATAGTGGTATATACTAAAGTGGAAACAACTTTGAACTGGTTTATTTTTCTTTCCATCTTTTCAATATGTTCTGTATAAAAATAAAGACAACATTTAGTGTTACATTTTCTGCATCACCTGTGTAATGTTATCTATATAAATAAAAATGTAAATGTTCGTTTGTTCAAAGTCTTAAATCCCCGAAGTTCTTCACCGATTGCTTTGAAATTTTGAAACAACGTTGCATTCGAATACACGCGTTTCTATGTACCTACTAGCTGTACCCGGCCACGCGTTGCTGTGGCTCAGTCTGGTTAAATTGAAAAGAAAGAAAACCGTTGTGTCGAGAACATCGAATCTCCACAGTTACAACGAATACACGGAGAGTTCCCACAGAGACAACGCAATAACAACAGGTAGTTGCGTAGGAATCACGGAATCAAAAAAGCTGCGTTTTCACGGTTATAACAAAGACCCATTTCAATAACAGCGGCCGAGGGTATAAAAGGGGGGTTGAATTCATTCATTTTGATTTAATTATTTCATGTGACTGGGGAAGAACAGGCATCAGCGAACGAGCGAAACAGGCAAAGAATGGCTCAAATACATGCCGAGGAAGCAGCAGAGCGATGTGCAGCCAGACTTGCTGCACGGTTGTGAGCACGGCGATCGCGTTCTGCAGCTTCAGATCTGCTTCGTTCTCAACAGAATGAACGCTACAGGCTGAGAGTGGCTGAAAGACATCAACGAGAAACAGCAGATCAGCGTCAAACACGACACCGTGCCCAGCAATCACACGATTACAATCGCCTTGTATTCCGGTACAGCCCAGCTTAAGATTATAGTTTGAGTCGGCATGTTCTCATCAGCACTATGACTGAAGCGTGTCCTTATTGCAAGGCTCTGAAATTTAATGGAGAAACGAAAGGAATGTGTTGCGCCATCTTTCAAAGTGAAAGGACAAATTTATCATAAAGCCGGCTCCCTGCTTCCGTTCCCAGGTGGTCAAAATAAATTGCTACAAGTGTATTTCATCAGCGATGGCAATGATCAATTGATTACACGTTGCGGAATTTCTACTGGCATAAAAAGGTCCATCGTTTCCCAACTGCAAGAGCTTCTTCACGAAAAAAACAATTTAATGTGTTTGTTCAAAACAGCAATTGACATGACGCCATCTGATACACACAAGACTGTTATTCATGCTGACAAAACGCCTGCTGGACAACATGTGCGAAGATTCAAGGCTCCAACTATAGACGAAATGGCAGTTGTTATAGTCGGAGATCAGTTCCAACCTAGAGATATTGTTCTTCATCGGAGAAACGATCAATTGACAAAAGTTGCAGAAACTCATCGATGCTACGATGCCCTGCAATATCCAATCATTTTTTTGGGGATGGTGCTGATGGCTATCACTTCAACGTTAAGATGATAAATCCAGTCAGTGGCAAAGAAACAAATATGAAATGCAGCGCAATGAACTATTATTCATACCGATTATTGATTCGAGAGAATGAAGACAATCACATTTTGAAATGCCGTCAATTGTTTCACCAATACATCGTAGATATGTATGCAAAAATCGAAACACAATGTTTGATATTCACCTGTTTGAATCAGACCAAGCTTCGCTCTGAAGAATACGTTCATTTCCGAGATGCAGTTGTAAATGACGGTAATACAACTAACATTGGAAGACTAACCATTTTGCCATCTCCATGTACAGGCGGTCCACTCATATGCATGAGTACGCTCAAGATGCAATTGCGTATGTTCGTCACTACGGGCATGTTCTAGAGTTGGCAAACCAGACAATCTCTATATCTGCACAGACAATGGAACAACAAAAAATATTGTATACCCACAAGCATTGTGAAATTAAACATATTAGAAACGTGCACTTTCTCTTTTCTTTCTTTTCCATTTAACCAGACTGAGCCACAGCAACGCGTGGCCGAGTACAGCTAGCAGCAAATAAAAATGATTTAATATCCACTATATATTATATTTATTGTCTTAAAAGCTCTACATGCAATAGAATCTTGTTACCAGATTTAGAATCAACGTGGCTACAAATCTATAAAGGGTATCAAATATAAGAAGAAGAAAACAGAACTGACCAATGTAATACAAAGTTTAGCTGTAAGATGAGATAAGATTAAAGTGTGGCATGTATATAAGAAATCTCAGGATTAAGAAGTTCATGTACCGTTCTGCAGTCCTATGAATTTTCTAAGGACATAAATAATATGTAACTATTACAAAAATAAGATTATAATCATCATCATCACTCACTGAGCTGAGCCCTTCTTGAGAAATCTCCAAGAATGCAGCTACTCAAGAACTTTATGGAACCTGAAGGTTCATTACCGTGTTCACAAGAGCCCTCCACTGGTCCCCATCTTGAGCCAGATCAATCCAATCCATATCATCCCATCCTATCCAAGATCAATTTTAATATTCTTCACCCACCTATGCCTTGGTCTTCCCAGTGGTTTCTATCCATCTGGCTCCCCACCCAATATCCTATATTCATTCCTGTTCTCCACCATTCGTGCTACATGCCCTCCCCACCGCATCCTCCTTGGCTTGATCATTCTAATTATACTTGGAGAAGAATACCAGTTAAGAGGCTCTTCATTATGCAATTTTCTCAAACCTCCTGTCACTTCATCTCTCTTTGGTCCAAATATTCTCCTCAACACCATGTTCTCAAAAACCCTCAGTCTATATTCCTCCCTTAATGTCAGAGACCAAGTTTCACACACAAACAGAACCATGGGCAAAATTATAGTTCTGTATATTCTAATTCTTACATTTTTGGACACCAGACACGAAGATAAAAGTTTCTGGACTGAATGGTATCAAGCATCACCTGAGTTCAATCTCCTCTTAATTTCCTCCTGAATCGATAAGATTATAATAATACAGAACATAAAGTTTAACATAAAGTTACAGCTGATATTTAAGTAAGTGGTAGAAGTCCATCATGCATAATTAGTTTCACAGGAATATTTAGAAGCTTTGCCTTTACATGTTAGTCACTGCTTGCCATCATCACAAAGCACAGCCAAATCTGTAAAGCAGCTACTTCATATACATTGGTTGAACATACATTTTCACTATGTCATAATGGGTCTTACAGTAGCTGTGGAACTTACAGCTGCTGAAATCAAGTCCTAATCATTAATACAGTTTTTAGACTGGTTAAAATTGGTTAGAAAAGTCTGGTTGCAAAAACAGAAGAATTATATTACAGCATTCATTTCAATTGGTGGTTATGTAGAATCTTATTGACTATCATATTGTGGCCCATATTCTGTCTAAAAATATATTATAGGATTTTCTAGCTCTGCTTTTTAACTTTATTGAAAAGCATTAATGAGTAGTAATTCTTTGTTGGCCATACTGGATTACACATAGCAACATAACACAGGTATGGCAAAGGTGTAGACTAATTACACTTGATTGATGTTCCTACTCATGTATTATGAGGTGAAATGGTTCAAAATGCTTTTTATTGGATCTTACATTTGCACTAAAACAGCACACATTTTATTACAATTTCTGGTTTTCCAACATTTTAAAGCACTATTACAATTAATGTTGTAAATTATTCAGAGAGTGAACATGATGGTACATTCTGTGCATCATTTAGTAACTGATCAGTGAAATTCTTAGTTTATTTGTGCAAATGGAGATCGTGGTAGAGGTTGCGGAATAGATTCTTGATTCACACAGTTTCTGCAAGGAACATTCTGTCCACGCTGACTGTTAATATGTAAGGAATTGAGGTACCAGAATGGTTGATGCTCTTTTGGCCAGGTTGCTACTCGGGATACAATATCAGGATCATGAAGAGAGTCGGTACGAGTGCTGGTTGGAGCTACTGAACTTGTTGATGGGCTATTTTCTCCAAAACGATTATCAACATTAGTGTCATCACCACCAAAGCGAGAAAGAACATTTGGGTAAATTTCTTTTCGATTTCCTGCATAAAAGGAAGACTGTGGAAAAGCCATTGTTGTTCCAGTGCCGAAAAGTATGCATAGGCTGATAGTCAGCTTCTGAAAACAAAACAAAAAACATTCATTCATTTTTAATTATTGGCAGATCTTCTACACTTAATTTATATGTAGCATACTTCTTCATGGCCTCTGGCTTTAACAAGTCAGGGGGAAGATGAAAACAGTGAGGTAAAGGAAAATTCTGGTATTAGTAGTGGAAGGAAAGGAGCAACAGTTTAGCTCTTGATCTGCTTGATTAGCCATTAAATATCATTGCACATAGATCTGTGGCTTGGCACAGACTGCATAGAAGGCACCATTCCTCTGTTGCTGTTCATGGGCTGGTGCCTAGTAATGGCCACTGTATAGTTGCTTATTTTGCGGTCATTGCCTAGCAATGGGTCTACATGCAATATTGCTCCCTCCTTAAGGCTATTCATCTCACTGACTACATCTTCATTAATGCTCTTGACCTGCACTGTGAGTCATTTTCTAATAACAATTACATCTAGTTTAGAACAACATACAGGTTATGACATATGTACTGTACCTACTGTATTACTGCATTATATAAAAATACATGGAGACTGTTTTGAGAGCGTGCCACAAATCATTTGGCCAGTCCAGCAGTTGGGGCACAAACTTTTTGTGTCATTTCTTTCAACACGTTCAGACCCACAGTAAAAATAACAGGTCCAATCACAGCAAATGCTAGCAATAGTCTGCTATTTTGCATGCACTGTGTACACCTCTATGAAATGTTCATATTCACACACAGCAATCTTGAAACCTGAAATTTTAAAAGCCGATCTTCCCTCCATGGCATGTAAGGGATCTGCTGAGTGGACTGTTCAAACCCAGCACAGATTTTATCCAGTTTCTCTTCAACAAGCACTCGATGTTTTCATTTGGTTCATTTTTTTTAACCAATTTGTTTATGAATGTATAAATAGTTTATTTCTATTTAACTATAACATCCTTATCCTTATATTTCACGTGGGGATCATACATCAACAATTGTTTCAATGCGTAATTCTCACATGGCATTTCAACACAAGAAGTAACATGACTGACTGAATATTTAATACATTAACTGGAACTCAGGATTATGGTTATAAGGTACATAACACATCATACAAAAGTTTTTGTATTGTCACCCAACAACGCTTGATATCAAGTGAAAACAATACATCAATCTTTTTTGACAATCATCAGGTGTATATGAGTGAAAACAATACATATGCAATGTTTATGCTGAATTACATAATGAAAATGGATCTACGCCCAACATCATAAAATTAAAAGTTTTGTATGTGTTAGGGTTGAATATACAAAAATGTGTTCATGATGTTATAGAATTATTATATACGGGTATATATATACATTTTATAAATTTAATAATTAACACAGTTGCTCAGATGATGGTCACAGTGGCTCTGTTGTATTCATTTTTGTGGGGAGGGTCTATGCGATTGTAAATTTTAGTGTACATTGTATATACATACATTATTGCTATGATGTTGATGGATATGGTGTAACTTCATGCTCATCTAATTTATTGTCTGTTATATGTTTTCATGATGTAGCGGAGAATATTAGGTGTACTGTGTTGAGTGGTTTTACATTCCAAAAATATTGCTGTGAAGTAGTATTCACTGATGATGTAGATATTTTTGTGTACTGGTTGAACAGGTTTCCATGTTTCACTGCTTGCAGTTTTGCTGTGGTTTTTACTTTATTAGTGTGATGGTATTTATGATTTTCTTTCATCTGCTGCTCTTGGTGTCTTCTGATGTAGTGTTAGTGTTTTGCTAATTGGAGTGCTGATGGTCAAAAGGCATTAAACATTTAGTCTGTTTAATATGATAAACTGTTTGACTTATCACTTTCACTTGTTCTCAATCGTTCTATTATACAACAGTCAAATGTTGTGTGAGAGTATAACACTTTAATATACACAAGAGGATGCATAAAATAAAAAATATGTAACATCAGTTTGCTTCATGTGCATAGGTTATTGACCTGCTGATTGTCACAAGTTCAAATGGGCAAAGCATGAATTCTTAACAAATTTCAGCAATAACTGATTTGCACCTGCACCAAGGCTATGTACACAAGGGCTACCTGGAAGTCAATAAGATTATAAACATTTGGCAGTGCACAAAAATTATGTTCTTTAAACATATACTGAAAATGGATGGTTCCACCCATTTTAATGCAACTAATGCAACATTTGAAGAATACCTAAATATGTTCATAAAAGTATACATTCTGTTTGGTCATTCATTAAATAGTCATTTCTACTTCCACATTACCTGCTTCTTAAAGCTTAAAATGATGTTACAGTTGAATTTATAAAATCCACAGATGACCACCAAATTATATAGATTTAAAAACAACAGACTGCCATGTTTGGAAGAGGCTTAAAGATTTAGTGTACAAAAACCAGAGATAATCATTCCAGTCCTCAGAGTTACTGCAACAAAGAACTGCAAATGTGTGGCCTCTTGTATCTCAAGGAAACATGTGATTACACATTAACCAGAGAAAAGAATGTGTTCAAGCCATAATCCATGAAAATAAGGTCCTCTTCAACACTGATTCTGAGTTACAGTGACTATTCCTGGTACTCATTTCTGTTAGAGGCTGAGTCGACCCCTGCGCCATAGTGTAGCTGGAAGGATCAGGTCAACTGAAAAAATCCAATGACCTCATCGGGATTTGAACCTGCGACCTTCCAGCTTGTAGCATAGTGCCTCAACCAACTATGCTATCACATGCCCCCAGATGTTTACCAAATAATAAAAAACTACAAATAAAATACCAACATGCGAGAGATGGGCTATTTAATCACAAAGAATGCATATGGAAACCGGTATGGTACATCTTTGATTAACGGTATGTGCCTCCGTCTGTGGCATTGCACCTACAAAGCCTGATGGAGGGTAAGGATGAATGGCATTGCAAATGCATTACTGAGCAAGTCTTTAAATTAACTGTAATACAGGCATACATGTTACTCCAAAAACATATCACCTACCTATTTACAATGATTTTATATTTTAACATCAAAGCTGTTAGGCTTTACCTGCCTTCTACATTTCTGTGCAGAATTTAATCAAATTCAACCCCTTTCACTCCCTACACAACTGAGAAAATGTAAGGTTACCTTTCATAATATATTTCATTATGTTTCTGACCCATTTTCTGATCAACCAGAAGCAAATTTGTGCACAGTATTTATTGTGTTATAATTACACTATGATCCGTTCATTTGCAATATGAAGACTGTGAAACCCACAACAATTTCCATATTTATGTTCAGGCTCGAACTTGGATGCTCTCGGTTTGAAACCTGTGTGGTGGTGAAAATACTAACTACCAAATGCATCACACATACGTTATCAATGATTTGATAGCTACTCACCATTTGTGTAATGATGGATGATTTTTTCTTTTGAACACACAACATCCGTGCTAAAATATATCTTCAGCAAACTCCTACCTTCGAGCTTCTAACCTCCCATGACACAACATGCTGCTATATAACCGTGATAACTGCTCCCGTCTGCGTACTTTGCGGTGAACACCATTCGCACCAGCCCACACCAAACACTCCCTTCCTATCCTTCCTACGCTTCCCACCCTTCCTCCGCTTCCTACATTCCTACAGCCATCCGCGGCCAAAGACGTAGCAACATTTATGTGGCCAGGATATCCAGCCTCCTGTACATGACGTCACTTGCTTTCGAGTGAAAGATCGCCAGCGTTACTACTTTTTTCCTGGAATGACTGCAATATTCAACGAATCGTGGCCATAATAAAAATAAACCTGAATTTTAACCCTCAGACAGGTCTCTTCATTCCGGGCTTTTCCCGTTTAGAATGAATTAGCCACCATGGCGAATAGTCAGTATTCTAAACTGATAATGAGAATGATGTGTATTTGTACCAACCGTCTTAGTGCACACACCCACACACGCAGTCACAAGGGAAGGACACAACACAGAACACAATATACCAGTGGTTCTCAAACTTTTTACCTCTGAGCCCCCTGACAAGAGAAAATACTCTCAAGCCCCCAGCCTGTTTTTTTTTATCAAAATAGAAGTCATGGTATGTTTGACGTTTTATTCAGTTTGTGTTTTTCTACATACTATTTAGCAGTTTTTTACTCAAAATTAAAGTATCACAATATTAGGCCTACAATAAAAATTAGTTATAACACTTGCAATCACCAAAATATGTATTTAAATGAAATGATATTTAACTAACAAGTTTTTTTTTTTCTGCAAAGAAAATCAAACATTTAAATGTCAAACTTCAGTGTGATGGATGGGCCTGCTTTTGAGAACAAAGTTTATCAAAACGTGGTGTAATATCAGAAATGGCCACTCTAACTTCTTTAGCAATATTTAGCCTTGAACGATACTTTG